AGATTTCAAAATTGTAGAATAGATAAACAAGATTATACTGTATAGCACAGGGAAATATATACAAGATCTTATGGTAGCTCACAGAGAAAAAAATGTGACAATTAATATATATATGTTCATATATAACTGAAAAATTGTGCTCTACACTGGAATTTGACACAACATTGTAAAATGATTATAAATAAAAAAACGTTAAAAAATCAATAAAAAATGTTAAAAAAAAAGTCACCATGCCTTTAATTATAGCTTGTATTAAACTTGTGAAAATCAAATACTTTAAGGTCATCTGCTACCTCCAATTCTGTTATGAGCTTTATTTTTTCAAAAAACTACTTTGGAATGTTTGTTCACTCTGACTTGAAAAATAACTACCCATCCTATCAGTCTTAATTATACTTTTTCCCCTCCCAGAAATGTCTGCCTTCTCTCTCACTTGGCAATTCTAACTTTCAAATGTTTCACTTCTAATTCTGCCATCCGTCCCTTCCTCAGGCGTCACCCAGTTACACTGAGAACCTCTAATTGTTTTCATAAATCCTTCTCCTGTCTCTTTAATCGCTTTATTACTTCCCTCAGGACTTTCTTGAATATCTTGAATCGTTCAGGATTAGGAAACAGTAATAGAATAAATTAGTGTAGTAGGTAGAAGATTTACTATTCAAGAAACTGTGTATAATCTGTACATGAAAAATTGATAAATATGCTGTAGTTATCATGCATTTGAGATCCTAAATTACTTTCTTAATGGAAACAGATAAAATACAAGCTGTGAGAAAATGGTCTAAAGTTCCCAAGGCTAAAGGACAAGTCACCCTTTATGCTTCGAATATAAAGCAGAATAAATGCTTCTGAAAGTATTCTTTGAAGATGTGTGAATACTTAAGAAAAGGCCTGATAGAGAGCTGAGATGCTTGTCTTTGTTCAGCTGGTAGCTCAGCCAATATCAAACAATTTCTTTTTGGTTTCTGTTTAATCGCTGGAATCCCTACATATTTGGGTCATGGTCTAAAAACTAGTGCTTTTACTGAGTGAGATAATGGAGAGGGAAAAGAGGCCAGGCAATTAGTCTCTAAAAGGTCTAACTCTCGAGATTCTGGAGGCTTTTAGATTTGGCCAACAGCACAGTGGAGAGAGCAGCAGGACCAGGGTAACTGTATTGAAAAAAAAAAAAAAAAAGCAACTGCAAATGGCACCTTGGCTGTGTAAAAGCAGTAACAGATGCTCAGCTGTCCATCTCCAGTTGTTCTTTGGAAAAGACACTTTCAAGTATTCAAGTTAAGATCTGTGTCATCTTTTAAAGAAAAGGAGGCCCAGGGTAGGGAGACGGCCTTCTGGGCGTGCTACAAATTACATCTCCTTGCCTAATATTCCACTGACTATTGCAGGAACATCGTGGGCACTTTTCGTGTCCTGACTCCCCGCCACGTGCTGAGGTTATGTTCCTCATCTCCAGCAACACGCTCCAGCCATAAGGGAGGCAGCCTGAGTGCGAGACGAGTCAGGGTGCAGCTCCTCTGCTGAGACAGTTCACAGCGGGACCTGGGGCAGCCCGGGAGTCCGCCGGAGTCCGCTGGAAGGAAGTCAGCTCTGGCTCATTTCCAGAAACTCCTCAGATGTCTCCCCCGGCCTCTGTTTCAGAACAGCACGTGCTTTTAGAAAAACTTCCTCATTCTCCCTTCAGCGCAGGTTTTATTTACTCTGTAACAAAGCTTCTTCTAAGGTAGAGAAAAATGAGGTGTGATGGGACCAAATATTTAAACAGCTAATTAGCAAACTGAAACTTGTGTGTTAGTTATTAAAAGCGTCCCAACAAGGTTAGAAGGTTCCCAATAAGTAATTTCATTACTCTCTTAGGTTAGAATATTACTTACTTACTTGTTCACAGGCCAGAAAGACTACAACGTCCCCCTTCTCACCCGAGTTGTGAATTTCGAAGATAAGGCGTAAAATAGACTCAAAAGACTCCTTCTGAGCCCCGCTAAGGTACACAACCTCCACAGGGTGCTTATGCTTCACTTCTATGAGAGGCACATTTCCATAATAAGAGCTGAGCTTGCTGATCAGGTGAGGTGAGGAGTTAATTATGAGCTTCAGTTCTGGTCTTGCCAGTAAAACATCTTTTAGAAGTCCAAGTAACACGTCAGTTGCAATGCTCCTTTCGTGAATGTCGTCTAGGATGATGACCCCATAGCTACCCAAGAAAGGATTGGACATCATTTCTCTCTGCAACATATCATCAGTACAATACCTGCAAACAAGAAACGTCCAAGTTAGAGCACTCTCATGAAAAACCGTGTAACACACTCCTAACGTAAGTAACAAAGGTGCCTTTCCTATGTCCTTTTGTCTAAATCAGGAGTTTAAATCTTTATCGGGGCCAAGATTCCTTTAAAGTGGTAAACTCTACGGACCTTCAAAACAGAAAAATACACATCAACAAATTTTAAGCACGGTTTTCATATGTTCACAGACCCTCTAAGGACCATCGCTGAACCCGAGGTTACAGCCTTACATGTTTCTTACAGATACTAACAAGGGCTCCATTTAACACTTGCCTGGAGCTTCTTAAACAAAAAAGTAATTTGGCAAAATACCTTTGTCAGGTAAGTGTTTCCCCCTCTTTTATCAATGGAAGAATTCTGAATCAGAGCACACGCTCTTCAAGGAAAGGAATGGCTGCCCTGGCTCAGGCTCACGCTCACGGCCCACATGTCCACTGGGAGGGCTGTGAGTGGCTCATCGTGGGGGACAATATCAGCAAGGAGTTAGCATCAACAAGCTTGAAATGTCACCCAAGTAATAACCACGCAAAAGCATCCCCCAAACAACCACCTATCTGAGTGCAGCATGCAAACTGGCCAGCATCCCTGGAGGAGGAAGGGGTCATTAGTGATGTCAATGAAATTTTCTAGTAGTTCTCGGGATGTTTTTACAGACAATAGTAAAAATAAATACTTATTGGTTACCCAGCACCATACAAACATCTTCCTTCTGACACTATTTACATATTTACTTACATTATGCCTTGAGGAAACCACTCCTACTAGTTTTTTACCCATTTAATGTATTCATTTTATTTGTCCCTGTCTATGGCAGGTCTGAAACTGCTATTCATAGAAAGGCCTTGGTCTTTGGCTGGTATCTGGGAGCTTAGATTTGGGAGGGTCTCACCAGTCCCAGAACCAATGCTTACTGTCTGCAATATGGTCTAACAATATGGACTAACCTACTTTCTGTGTGGGAGGCTGGAATTCTAGAACACGGTAGTAGGCAGAGGGGGCCTATGTGACCAGCTCCCAGTAAATACCCTGGGCATTGTCTCCAGTGATTCTCCTGGTAGGACAACATTTCACACTCGTCACAACTCATCACTGGAAGAACTAAGCATGTCCTGTGTGAGTCCACTGGGAGGGGCCTCGGAAGCTAGCGCCTGATTTCCTCCGGACCTCACCTCGGGCACCGCTTCCCTTTGCTGATTTTGCTTTGTAACCTTTCACTGCAGCAAATTTGATCTGTGGATGAACTATGTACTGAATCCTGTGAGCATTCCTAGCAAATCATCAAGCCTGGGGTGGTCTTGGGGACCCTGATACAGTCTTCAATTAACCCCTTTCAAGGAAGAAAGAAAAGGAAAGGAGAAAACATTTATTAAGCTCCTAGTGTGTGCCAGGCACTGTGCTGGTAAAACAGTTCTCATTTAACCTTTAGAATAATCTTCAAGGTAGACATTACTATCCCATTATTTATAAATGAGGAAACTGAGGTTTAGAAAGGTTAAGTACTCTGCTTACGGTCATAAAGCCAGGGAGAGAGTCAAGATTTAAGCCTGAATATCTATTACATCTCATGTCATTGACAAACTATAAAGACTGCTTCCTTCACTGCCACAGATCGGTGATAAAGTCCATGTTCTCCCTCTGCACCTTTAGAAGATCAAAACATTTGCTCCCTGCCTTTCTCCTCATACTTGTTCTCGTTCTCTGTCGGCCAAATGAGCAGTGATAAACTGCTAATTATTCCTTTCCTCAAACTTAAGAGAAAAAATACCAAATACTACAGTATTACACTCCATGCAAGAAACAGAGATGCATCCAAAATCTAGCTTTCAGGTCACCTGTTACTGAGGTTAATCAGTATGATGTAATGATGTAAGTTACTACTGACTCTTATCTGAAAACAAGTTATTTTAATCTATGCTACTTCCCTAATGTTAGAAATTAAATTTCTATTCCCTTCTCAGCAAAACTCATCTAAGCACTGATCTGAGAGGAAGACATGCTCCCTCCCTGCCAGGTGGAGGAAGTATGTGTGTTATGTAAGTAGATCTTGGCTTAATTAAAAAGTGGGAAGATGTGACTCACCTAAATTCTACGGGACTCAGCAAGCAAGGCCTGGTCTTCCTGGCGGTTACGTGATGCTAAGGGATGACTAAGGATCAATCCTAAAACTTGCTATACAAGCCATTACCTTTCTACATAACACAGACCTCTATTTCTTACCTCTGTATTAATAAGACCATGTGTTCAGCGCTTAAGAAATGCTATTCCTGATGACTATGTTAAAAAAAAAAAGACACGTTGCCAAGGTTTCAGGAAATGTAATTTATATTTTAAATTCTTAAGACCAAATTTCTGAATGCTAAGAATGTAATAAAATATAGGAAAGTTTATTAATATTTTCTAAAATTATATGGATTGAATTTGACCTTAAATAAAAATTGGAGTAATTAAAAAATTTGTGTTCTACAGGATCCATATTTGAAATTTATGTGTCACTTCTACAAGATACTGTGATATCTAGCTCAGAAAGATTACTTTAGGTATATAATATTCAAGTATCCACTGTTTTTTAAAAGGCCAGAAAAAAGCTTAAAGAAGAACTAAGTTGGTCTACACAGCACCCAGAAAAATGATAGTGGCATAGAGACTATATTTACTAAGTCCCTACTATGCACCCAATAGACTAGATACCAAGGAGTTATAAAGAAAATGAAAAGGATTACATCAAATACAGAACAGTCTTCTATAATCAAGAGTTACCCTCACATCCTCTTCTTTAATAACAGCTATTCAATCCAAGCTTGCCAAAAATTACGGCCGGCATGTGTCTCCAAGAAAAGGAATCTGGCTCAAGAGTACCTTTCCAGTTACCGAACTTGCTAACACAGACGCGGTGCTTATGTGCACCAGTCACACACAGCAGCTCACGGAGTCCCCGCAGCAACCCTGCGAGCAGGTCTGTCAACCGCCCTGCCCCGCAGACGAGGAGGGAAGCTCGGAGAGGCCAGGTGACCGGTGCAAGGCTCCAGGCGGGTAAGTGGCAGAGACACTCATTTCACAGACATGCCATCTCCTCTTCGGAGCACAGAACACCAGGAAGAAAACACAGGACGACTTTCTTTTGTCACGCAGGGCTCTTCACTAGTTTTGACCCCTGTGCTGCTACTCAAACCCAGTGAGCAACAAATCCGAGTATCTGCTGACTGTGCACTGGCTGGGGGACGGCAGGGTGGGGAGCGCAGCGTCCCTGCAACAACGTGACTGTAAAGTGCAGACTGAAGCCAGCCAGAGGACCGGGCAGCCCGCGGAGGCAGGAGGAGACAGACCTGCAGCGGCCAACGCAGGCCCTCGCCCCGCCCACCGTCTCCGCACCTGAAGGCCGCTTTCTACATGAAGGAAGGAAAGCTCCGTGCAGAGCAGAGCTAAATAAATTCAGCAGGACTGTAGTTCTTCCTTCAGCTGTTAGGACTGGGGGCTTAGGGAGTCTTCACCATAGAGCAATCACATGAAAAGCCAAGTCCCAACACGCAATAGGTGTTTAAAAGGTGAGACGTGCCTTTGACCTACTTTGACAACATTACTGGATTTCTCCACAATTATTTATCTCTGTGACTTTCTAAAAAAAAGTACATGTATATGCACGCTTGATCAATTTTAATAAGATAAAAATGTCATAAGATTTCATTTTAAAAGTGACTATACCCAAGTGTTCTTTTCATAAGGCTTCCCAAATCTAGATGCATTAAAGATATAAAAAACATATATTATCTTTGGAACCTAGTCAGACCCGCATTTTAATTGAAACCATGACCACGTTAGAGGCGACTTCAACATTCAAAGGATAAAGAACGAATCTGCCAAGTGGAGAGATCCTTCCAGGGCTGCACGTCTGGTCCTGTCCGACTCTTCCGACTGGTCTGTGAGCTCCCAAGAAGCAGGGAGGTTTTTACGTTTATTTGTGTCACTCACGGACCACGTGCATAATAATTAATTTAAAAATATACACTAATCCAGTGACTTGGGGACATCCTGGCTGAAACAGCAGATGGTTACACATCTTCAAGAAGTTCAAGTCACAGTGCGGTTGATAGAAATATTCCCTTTGGCTTAACACCAGCCTGAAGACCACAGTCTTCTATTTCTGGAGAACAACATTTGAGGGAAAGCAGCTCGGTACACGCCGAATGAGCCAGACGGGCTTTCTGAGTGGAAAGAAGTGCACCGGTGTCTGCGGCAGCTACGTGGGACCGGGCACCAGTCTTTCCTTCATTATCAAATTTGCTGAACGTCCTCAAGGGACAAGCATGTCAGACACTGGGAATATGAGAGCAAAAACCACCCTACACTACATGCTACCCAACCCCACACGACGCCACGGCACCCCGTCACACCAGCTCTAATCTATGTCTGCGGTGGTGTCTGTGGCCCGCTGTGCCCCACCAGGGGGTCTGAGGCCTGCAGGCACCGCGGCAGAAGCACGTGTCTCCTCAGACCTGGGAACGCTCAGGCTGCGCCTGGGGCAGCTGAAGCCCCTGGGGTAGTCATCGTTGGCTGCAAGCAGCTCTGACCAGTTCCTTGAGATGCCATAAGATACTCCAGCTTTCCATGAGGGCGATGCTAGAAAACTGCTTGAAAAACTGGCCCAGAGCAGTGGTTTTTTTTCCTACTTCTTTTCTTTTTCCTTCTGTTAAGCTCTTGGAACCCACTGTGTAAAGGAAATTCCACAATGAAGCTAAAAACAGATAAAAGGATTTTTTTCTCATAACTTTTGGTAGCTACTGTGAAGGCTACTGAGAATCTGAAAAGTAGAGTTTGAAAATCACTGACCTAAATTGCCACGATGAAGGCAGATAGCAAGTTTTTATAATAGCCCAGCGGAGCGTTCTCTAATTTACACCACAGAAAGGTCAGGGACCCTCTCCCGGGGCAGGTGACCTCCACACAGGGTCTTGCAGAGCAATCAGCCAGGCCTGGAAGAGGCACAGACATTCTCAGCGGAGGGAGCAGCGTGTGTCCAGGCACGTGGCACACAGAGGACCACGCGTGTCAACCACCGTGCGGCGGAGCTCCAGAAGCACAGCGGGGAGGCCTCTGGGGCCGACCTAACAAGTTGTGACTTTTTCCTGATGATTAGGGAGAGCCATGGAAAAAGTTAAGACATGGAATCCCTGATGGTGCCCCTGTGGGGAAACAGCTGGTGACAGAGCCCAGTTATCCTTACACGTTACAGTTGCTTAAAGCACAGAAGGCAAGAACGCGCTCTTCCACCGCAGAACACAAGCCAAGAGCACAGCAGATGAACCCCCCAAACCAACCTCAGGATCGTTTCAGTGGTACAGCAGTTCTCAAAAGGGATCACGTAGCCAACTTCATGACCAATGTTAACATCCATCTCGTCTGCCACCCGGAGGGCGAGCTGGACGGCGGTCTGCTTGTGGACCTGTGTGCATACCACGCCCCCGTGCTGGTAGTGGATGGAAAGGCAATATTCAGCACACCACTGAGGAACCTTTAACGGGGACAAATGAGACAGGATCAGCCCCGCTAGGAACACAACAAATGCAACACAAAAACCCAAGGGTTCACCTTGTAAGCGACTGTTGTCTTCCGCCAATGAATCACCAGTGAGCTGCATCACGTCTGGTTACATCTAGCTGCATCACATGTTAATGACACTCTGAACAATCTGTGTTTATGCAGCGTTATTATTAGAAAATAAAGCTAAGGATAAACAGGAGTTAGCAGGGACTGTGAAAGCTTGACTCCCAGATAGAAAAAAGGCAAGTAAAAATAAAAAGCAGAGTAAAAAAAAAAGTTTTTTAACCTCAGCTGTTCTGAAAAGACCTATGTACTTAAGATTATGATTTTCCTCCTGGTTACAAGGAAGTACCATCAAAGATATGGCTTCTGGCATCAACTACTATGTCTTAGGCAGTGTAAATATTAAATAGCATTTAGATGAAAAATAGTGATTCAAAATTAAAACATTTACATTTAAATCTAAAGGATCATAACAAAACAACCACATAAGCCTACTTAACATTTCCCTGGTGATAAAAGCTAAAATACAGCGTGTGGCATTCACCATCTAAACACAGTAAAAAATACAAGCTCAGTGAGATAATCAACCAATCCATCCAGATGTGGAAAGAGTCAATTCCAAGGCTGCTCTTGAGTCATTTATTTTTAAAACCCTTTCACTGAAAATGTATTACGGATCAATTGATTTTATCAGGCTCATTTGTGTAGGAATTGTTATGGTAGAAAGTACTGAATTCATTTGTATGCTGCAGT